TAAATAAATAATTGTATAAAACCTGTACTACATAACTTTATTATAAAACCAAGGTTGATGACGATTTGGCATCAGTATTTTTTTTAAATAAAATTAAAGTAATAACAACATGGATACTAATTATTCTGATTACATCACACCAACAAGTTATGATTACTACGGTACGGGAACACAATCGGAGAAGTCTAAATATGTTTATCATATAAACATACGTACCGGAGATAATGTAGCAAGCTTTGCAAAGAACAAGACCATTTATGAGCGCCTTGAAGGGTGTGACTCCGAGGAACAACAGGAGTTGCGTGGTAAAGAGATAAAATAAATGATAACCTATTACGATAGTCTCTCTGAGGACTTAATTAAAAAGGACTCTGTTGTGCATATTTACATTGTTCTCTGACAAGAAAGAAAATACTGTGGCATACGTTCCTTTGCTAAGATCTGTAAACCAGATTCCAGTGAGAGATTCGGGTTCACACGAGATGTTGAAGTCATATCATCTAATGAAACTGGAGAGGGGGATATGAATAGTAATGATAAACCAAGTGATATCTTACCGATGGCATTGCTTACTCTCTCGGATACCCTCGAATCCATCGAAACCAATCCTCTTTTAGAAAGATACGGGGAAACAAATGTTACTGGATATATATCAAGCATCCAATGTCAGCCATATATTTTATCAGGGAGATTAATTACATGGACTTTTTTGGTTGTAACAGCAAGAATGGTGGAGAATTAAAATATACTGATACTATAGAAAACATACATACTCAACTCAAAAAACACAATAGTGTGATCAAAGGTGATATTGATTTTTATAAGCAGAAAAACGATATCGACGAAGCCACATTGGCATTTTTCAAAGAACATTATGCATTTGTACCCGATCCAACATGGCTCAGTAAACATAAAAAAACAAAAAAATATACCAAAAAATTATTGGTCAGAACCAATATCAGCACCCTTGTTAGCAATCGACCATCTAAACATACCAGAGAAATTGTAGATATTGAAAACAAAAGAGAGGTCTCTCGGAATAACCAAACAAAAAAACCAAGAAAAAAATAATAATATTTATATATTTGCTTTTAACATGATTTATTATCAATAAAGGTTTAAATAAAAATATCAATAGTTTATTATTATATTGTTAATAAATTTTCA